TTTACAATTTAACATCTACAGACGGGCGGACGGACATGTATAAATCGACTCAGAAGGTGATTCTATGCATATTCTCAAAAGGAACCATGTGTCTATCTTGTTTCCTTTTGCCTGTTACAAACATATGCACAAAGACATAATACCCTGTACCACAGTGTGGTGAAGGGTATAAAAAGCGTTAAGTTCGGCCGGGCCGAATTTGGATACCCTCCACCATAGGTATACTGACAGATACTTAAAATGAAAATATAGGGAACATACCAAAAAGTGAACCCATTCCGATAATTTTACTATTATACAATATACAATTATGTAAACCATTATGAACACCAAATACAAATTTCAGCAATTTGTAATGGGGATTTTTCATAAAATATGAAAACCCCAAAGCGTGGACTGATACTAATAACGCATAGTAGAGAGAATTTGTAGGGTAAAACTGACCATTTCGAGTAACAACTATCCCCTCTACTATGGTAGAATAGGCCTATATGGGCACACCCCCTACACACGGAACTAATCAGCTAACTATTTTAATATAAGAAGGGGGTTATAAGGGAACTACCCCTAAAAAGGGGGAGAATATTAATAATTCTTGGTAGTAAGATTTGTTACCATATGCTACTACAAAATACCGAATTACCCCAAAATTTGGGGTGCCCTTATATGGGGGCTACCCAAAAAAATTGACCTATATTTATATTTTTTGTGGAGAGATTTGCTACCCACTAAGAACTCAAAGTACTAAATTACAACCAACTCAGTCGAAAAATACACTCAAAACTGAAAATTGGGGATAACGTTATATGGGGGCTACCAGAAAAAGTGGATCTATATTTATCATTTTTTGTGAGCAAATTCGGTACTCAATAAGAACATAATGTACCAAAATTCAGCGAATTCAGTTCAAAACACGCTCAAGAACCCCAAAATACCGAATGTTGGGGATACCCTTATATGGGAGCTATGCCTAAACGTGGACCGATATATCCTATCTTCGAACTTAACATGCCTGCATACAAAAGACTCTATGCTAAATTTTGGCGGTCTATCTCAATTCGTTTAGAGGCTAGAGTATCTTGAGTCACTATTAATAATTTTTGGTACGTTAATGTACTATACAATGGAAACCCAAAATACAAAATGTTGGGAGTATCGTTATATGGGGGCTACCCTGAAACTTTGGTCAATGATACTAAATTACAGCCAATTCGGTTGGAAAAGATGTTCAAAATCCCCTTACTAGCAATGTCTGTGACAGGCCTGAATTGATTTTATTCAGATCAAGAATAATATACTTAATGGGGTCTCCGGTGAATATTTCAAGGTGTTGCAAACGGAATGATAAATTTATTATACACTTCACATTATGGTGGAGGATATAAAAATGAGTTTGCATCTTTCGAAATTTTTTGCAGGGGCCCCCATTAAGCATCAAGTAACGGCGAAAGCTTTTTTTTAAAGGTGGGCACAATAACTCTCAAACCAACAATCAAATTGGTTCCAACTTTTAACACGTTATTCTGTACTTATATAGATTATATAGGACCTGCCAGTGATCTGATATCATGCCTGCCGTCAAAAAAGAACAACAAAATTATATTAATTCATTTGCTTATCCTTTAAGTCTTTAAGTACTTATATACAAAGTTACAAATCTTCAATGTAACGCACATCATTTGGCTAGCCGGTTGAAAATCATAAAAATTTGAAATCGAGAATGGAGGGGCTCCCTTAATTCAGAATTTGTATACCCTTCACAACTCTGTGGTACAGGGTATATGTCTTGTGCATATGTTTGTAACAGGCAATAGGAAACGAGATAGACATATGGTTCCTTTTGAGAATATGCATAGAATTACTTTCTGAGTCGATTTATGCATGTCCGTCCATCTGTGTGTCGATGTTGAATTGTAAACAAAGTACATGCCGCATTTATAATCCGAATTGGATGCAATTTGGCATAGGTCACTTACTTGGCCCAAGGACGAACCCTATTGAAATTGGGAAAAATCGGTTCAGATTTAGATATAGCTCCCATATATATTTTCGTGCGATTTAATGTAAACCGTCCCTATAATTTGGTACGGTGTAATGAATTAGGTCTAGAATGATGTGTGTCAAGTTTCCTGAAAATCGGTTCAGATTTGGATATAGCTCACATATATATTTTCGTACGATTTAAGGTAAATGGTGTACCAAAGTCCCTTTGTATTCTTCGACTTGCACGAAATTTCGCATAGCGTACTGAATTAAGTCTAGAACGATGTGTGTTAAATTTCGTGAAAATCGGTTCAGATTTAGATATAGCTCTCATATATATTTTCGTCCGATTTTAGGTAAATAGTGCACGAAACTCTCTTTATATCCTTCGATTTACACGAAATTTTGCATAGCGTACTGAATTGAGACTAGAATGATGAGTGGTGAGTTGCGTGAAAATCGTTTTAGATTTCGACATATCTCCCATATGTAGTTTCTTCCGATTTTATGTAAATGGTGCACCAAGGTCCCTATATAAATCCTTCGATTTGCACAAAATTTGGCATAGCGTACTGAATTAAGTCTAGAAAGATGTGTGATAATTTTCGTGAAAATCGGTTCAGATTTAAATATAGCTCCCACATAGATTATATTTTTAACAACTGAAATTTAGGATAGGTTGAAAGTTAGGATAGGTTGGAGAAAGAGGGAACATAGACATGCAATTGTTAGGATACATATGTACAATACCCAAAGTGGTGAAGGGTATCATATAGTCGGCCCAGTCCGACTTTACTACATTCCTTACTGGTTTCATTTGTACTAAATCTGAACCGATTTCAACAAACCTTGGCATATAACTATCAATTCAACACTCTGTGCAAAATTTTGTCCCAATCGGACCAATATGGGAGTTTGATGCATCAATAAGTTAAAATGGGACGAAAATATATATGGGAGCTATATCTAAATCTGAACCGATTTTCTCCAATAGGGTTCGTCCTTGGACCAATTAAGTGACCTGTGCTTTGTTAACCAAAATACATGGAGGGACGGACAGACGGACATGTATAAATCGACTCAGAAAGTGATTCTATGCATATTCACAAAAGGAACCATGGGTCTATCTCGATTATTTTTGCCTGTTACAAACATATGCACAACGACATAATACCCTGTACCACAGTGTGGTGAAGGGTATAAAAAACCAAATTACAAATAATTTGGTTGAAAAACGCGTTCAAGAACCCCAAAATATTGAAAATTAGGAGGTACCCGAAAAAATTGACATATATTTATTATTTATAGTGGAGAGATTTGCTACCTAATAAGAACTCGACGTACTAAAATACAGCCAATTCGGTCGAAAAAGACGATCAGAACCCCCAAAATACCAAAAATTTGGGAGTACCGTTATATGGGGACTACCAGAAAAACTGGAGCTATATTTATAATTTTTAGTGGGGTAATTTGGTACACAATAAGAACCCAATGTACAAAATGTATATGGGAGCTATGCCTAAACATGGACTGATTTTCTCCAATTTCAATAGGGTTCGTCCTTGGGCCAATTAAGTGACCAAATTTCATCCAGATCGGATCATAAATGCGGCGAGAATCTATCTGAACATAGAATTTACCTTCTGAGTCGATTTATACATGTCCGTCCCATACCTCTGTAGATGTTAAATTTCGTAAACAAAGTACATAGGGACGGTCGCATTATATGATCCGATTTGGTAATTTCAATGGGTTGGCACAAGTCACTTATTCGGCCTTAGGACGAACCCTATTGAAATATATATTCTAACCGATTTCCTATTTTTACAAACATATGCACAAGACGTATACGTAAAAGAAGGGTACATATTTTGTAATTTTAACCTATTCTCGATTTCTTTTTATATTTGCACGAAATGTTAGTTCGTACTTTGTAGCCTAAAGGATCATTTAGGTTTTGAGGCATAGTTGATATCAGATCACTGGCAGGTCTTATAATCTATATAAGCGATAACATCGCTATTGGATTTTTCCCGTTACTTGTGGCAATGGATGCAAACTCATTTTTATATCCTCACCATAATGTGAAGTGTATAATAAATTTATATGTTAACTTAGCACCTGTATTTTAAGATAACATAGTAAGGGGATTTTGAACATCCCATATATAGTTTTTCGGATATACAGTCTTATTAATAGTGACTCAAGATATCATGTAAACTATGTTTAAAAATTTTGTAATTCGAAGATTTTACACAATATCTATAAGTATAACATTCGATTTGCACGAAATTTGGCATAACGTACTGAATTGAGCCTAGAATGATGTCTGCCATATATAGTTTCGTCCGATTTAGGTCAATGGTACCCAAAGTCCCAATATATCCTTCGATTTGCACGAAATTTGGCATAACGTACTGAATTGAGCCTAGAGTGATGTCTGCCTTGTTTCGTGAAAATCGGTCCAGATTTAGATATAGCTCCCTTTTATTATAGATTGATTTTAAGTAATTGCCACACAAAGGAATCAATAGGCTGATAGGAAAAAACGTTCTGAAATTAGTATAACCTAACCTGTGACAAATTGTGTTTGAAATCGCTTAATATTTGGATAGAGCTTCCATATATATTCCGCCCGATAGTCCTGTTTAATATACCCATAGTGGTGAAGGGTATCATATAGTCGGTCCCGTCCGACTTTACTACTTTCTTTACTGGTTTCACTTGTTTTTATAAAAAAGATCTTTGCGTTTGCATAATATCAGCAGAGATCACTTGTTTACTTTTTTGCCAACGGAGGAGCATTTGATAATGTAAATCTATAATGAATTTAAACAGTGATCCTAACTTAATGTATCGATGGAAAACAGCATTAGAAATTATATAAATTCGTGTCTATATTGAAGTCTAACATTATCGATTCTCCTTTCTTGGTGTACATTGAGTCGACATTATTTTGGACAAACCCGACTCCGCAAATTTTTACGTTCTTCTTCATTTTAACGCATATTTCATACTTCACAGAAATTACTTTCTACTTTTATTTTATACTCACATTTTATCTCTATGGCTAGGCCATATTTCAAACGTTCATTATAGACGGCCAAACAATTTCCGAATACTTCCATATCGGGTTCAATCAACAAATTCGCATCTAAATCGGCTAAACAACGTAAAGTCGTTTCGAATTCTTGTAAACCAAATTCCATTAGTTGTCGTGTGGTGCGATCATTTTTCCATAGAAAATGATAAGGTTTCCAACGTTTGATATAGGTTTGAATTTCCGGTTTAATACCCTTCGTGCAATTTGAAAGTAAATTAAAAGCCTTAGCCACTTCCTTGTTATCCATAATGGCCGAATAGAAGGATTTCAGCATATGAGGCATTTGGGGCTTTTGCACCGAGTCCAAAGTATACAGCTTACGACGTTTTGTATTGTGATTACGTCCAACACGGGGTTGTGGTGTCAGTGAGACTTGCTGCAAAGACAATTTCAGATTAATTACAATTTTAAAATTCTTAAAAAATCTTACCGGTTGCTCCTTGCCACTTGTCCACTGTGCCACACCCTTGGCTATGCCGGTAATAGTTTTACCAGCCGTTATTAAAATCTCCTGCAGCTCCTCTAAATTTGGTTTAATAACCACATTAGGTATTTGTAATTGGGCGTAGAGGAAATATCGGCTTCTTAGGCACTGGATCATCATCGTCGGACACAAAACGCCTCCTTATGGTATCCAGTGCAGCTCGAATCACCTTGATTAGAACATCAATGACTTTGCGACTATAGTAGCGTCGCATTTCAACAACAGCATTGCAAACCATGTCCTGAAAATAAAATAACTTAGTTTAGGATCTGTAACATATATTTTGGAGTTCCTCCTCCACCAGCTCCACCACCAGAACCTCAGGAACTAGCATTTCCCCCAGCTGCTCCCTCATTTTCACCACCTTTACGAAAGAGCTCTGATCTTTTGCACTCGCTGGAATGTTTCAATATTTTTTAAAGTATTTTCGGAGCTTGCTTTAAGGCGTATGTACTTACCATCAAATAGGGTTACCACATCATCTCCCGCCATCTCTTTAAACTTCTCAGAAGCTTTATCGACCAAATTCAAAACTTCTTCTACAGCTTCCGATACCATTTGACTTTTTCGATTAAGTTCAATTGCCGCTTTCCTATTTTAAAAATAATACTTTAAATTTTTCCATTTGAAAATCGTATTTATTTTCACCTGCAGGACTCCTCGCTCTTCTCCATAAAACTCATCAACTGTCCAGATTTCATCATCTAAATTAAAAGGCAATGGGTTATTATGGAATGTATAAAACAAAAATAACCAGTAAGGAAAGTAGTAAAGTCGGACGGGGCCGACTATATGATACCCTTCACCACTTTGAGTATATTCAGCAGATGAATCCTAATAGAAGTCGCATTTTTAAAGGACCAGTAAAATGAAATTGGAACCATAAACACGTCATTCTTCAACCGATACTAAATTGTTCATTTGGTCAGATATAGAAGCTATATCTAAATCTGAACCGATTTGAGGAAACTTAACACACATCATTCTAGACCTAATTTGTTACGCTGTGCCAAATTTCGTGCAAATCGAAAGATATATAGGGACTTTGGTGCACCATTTACATTAAATCTGACGAAAGTATATGTGGGAGCTATATATAAATCTGAACCGATTTTCAGGCAACTTTACACACATCATTCTAGACCTAATTTGCTACGCTGTGCCAAATTTCGTGCTTAAATCGACTCAAAAAGTGATTCTATGCATATTCTCAAAAGGAGCCATGGGTCTATCTCGATTATTTTTGCATGTTACAAACATATGCACAAAAACATAATACCCTGTACCAGAAAAAAGAATTTGGTTCAAGAACCTCAAAACCTGGGGGCTACCAGAAAAAATTGACCAATATTTATAATTTATAGTGGAGAGATGTGCTACCTAATAAGAAGTCGACGTACTAAATTACAGTCATTTTGGTCGAAAAATCCGATACCAAAAATTTTGGGTACCGTTATATGGGTACTACCAGAAAAACTGGACCTATATTTATAATTTTTAGTGGAGTAATTTGGTACCCAATAAGAACCCAAAATTTCAGCGAATTCAGTTATAACCCCCAAAATACCGAAAATTTTGGGTACTCTTATATGGGGGCTATCCGAAAAAATGGACCTTTATTTATAATTTTTGGTAGGGAGATTTGCTACCCAATAAGAACTCAATGTACAAAATTTCAGCGAATTCAGTTAAAAACGCGCTCAAGAACCTCAAAATACCGAAAATTTGGGGGTACCCATATATGGGGGCTATGCGAAAAAATGGACCGTTATTTATAATTTTTGGTAGGGAGATTTGCTACCCAATAAGAACACAAAGTACCAAATTTCAGCGAATTCGGTCGGAAAATGCGATCAAAACCCCCAAAATACCGAAAATTGGGGGTAATCTTATATGGGGGCTATCCGAAAAAATGGACCTTTATTTATAATTTTTGGTAGAGAGATTTACTACCCAATAAGAACTCAAAGTACCAAATTTCAGCGAATTCAGTTAAAAAACGCGCTCAAGAACCTCAAAATACCGAAAATTTTGGGGTACCCTTATATGGGAGCTATGCCTAAACGTGGACCGATTTTCTCCAATTTCAATAGGGTTCGTCCTTGGGCCAATTAAGTGACCTGTGCCAAATTTCATCCAAATCGGATCATAAATGCGACCTGTACTTTGTTAACAAAAATACATGGACGGACGGACAGACGGACGGACGGACGGACAGACGGACAAACGGACATGCATAAATCGACTCAGAAAGTGATTTCTTATGCATATATAGTTGTGGATTTTCAAAAAAAATATATTTTTTTCAAGGACTATCAAAACGATGATTGTGGATTTTCCATGCAGACCAATATGATAGTAAAAATGTTGTCTTTTTCTTAGGTTAATGTTTAGTTTAAATTTAAAATATTTATTTCTGGGAATTATTGATTACATGATAATAATTCCCCTAAATGTAATGCAAAATGTGGATATTTTTTATGGATTTCATTGGAAAATGATTATTTTCGGGGTTCTGTAATAATCACTTAAGTAGTCCTTGATGCTTGTTGATGTCTGCCCCATTTTACACCCACTTCAGTTGCGTCAATTCGAATAATAAAAAAAAACGAAAAACAAATTGATGCTTTCAAATTAAATTTTGTTGGTGGCAATTCATCATAAATTCGCTTCTTTATTCGCACCTTTCATTCGTGGGAAGTGAACGTTTGTGTAAGTATGTGGATGTGGGTATTTGAGGATGAAAAGATGACAGGGCCACAAGAAGATATTGGTACATTACCTAAGTATTTCACCGTGTTACCTTCTAATCAAATAACTTAAAGTTTGCTGCTCTCCCCTAGGAAAACTTTTGCACCAGGGAGCGGTTGTTTAAAACACCAGACACCATTACAGCAATAATTCCCCAAAAATACCAAAGATAAATAATAAACGTTCTGAACTAAGTTAAATAATATTTAAGTTCTAACAAGCGCAGCGACGACAAGGAGAACTGCGAAAAATGCTTTGCAACAATGTTTGTAAATGATTCGTTCGACTTTAATGAGCGGTTGCTTGGATGATGGGTGGCAGTGTGTATGTGGGTGGGTGTAATATGCAAAGCCATTGCCGCCCCTAGGTCACTATCACTCATGGTTTTCCTTTGTCGAAAATAAGGAAGACACGGAGTCTTAAAACAACTGTCGACAGGAGGTTAAGTGTTATGCTGTTGCCCGAACCTCCATACCTCTGATGTTTATCTGCCACGATATTCCTAATGTTTAAAACTATCTCTGGGGGACATTTAACAAAGCGGTAAAGTGAAAATAATAAAGTGATTAATTGACTGAATAGAAAAAAAGAAACACCGTCGTATTCTTGAAAATTGAATTAAACTTTGAAAATGTTTTTTTTGGTGGAACAGGCAACAGCTGATGTTGTTGCCTCATGTTTTCGGCTGTTCCTGTACAAAAGGTCAATTGTGTGTATCCAAGTGAAACGAATTGTATTACAAATGTTTTGGAAAGAGGAACCAAAAAGTTTTCGGTTGATGGTATATAAGTAGATATGTTCATTATAGTATTCTTATTTGT